TATACAAAATGTTTTATGAAGAGAAACTCTAAAATGTATCTTTGAACTCGGTATGGGAAACTAATTTCTTCTTTCAGACGAACCCTGCGCAAGAACAATAACTGGTTAAATTGTAAACAATAACACATGGTTCACATTATTGTGGAGTGTGTTTTGAAAATAGGAATTCACAAATTTAAATAAATCCAGATTATTTTTAATGAGTTTTAATCATGTTAATAATAAAGAAATAAGATGGATTATTTATTTTGATGATATTAAACATATAAATCTTTTAACAGACCAGTTTGACATACGAGAATGGTTATTATATCATCTGGCTCAGTGAGAATCAGCATGAGATCGTATATTTTAAGCGGGTCGTAAACAGAGTAATAAAGCAACACCAATTTTTTTAAAATCTTTTTTTTAGTAAGCATTTTCTATTATTTTATTGGGAGCTAAACTGATTTTGCTAACATGATCAAGACAGTATTGTTTTCAGCTATTCATCTCTGATAATTAATATTTCAGATATATAGAATTATATACTGACCTTATGAAGTACATCTAATTAATATATAATTTTATAATGCTGAACTCTATCGAGAACATATTTGATTGCTAGTTACAGCATATATGTTTAATAGAATATTTTTTTATTCTTAGCAGATTCAGCCGAATCACTTTATTTCGTTGATTCACACATCCAGTGTAATTTTGATATTTTTATTTCTATGGTACAATTAGAAGGTATGAACAATACTTTTTGAAATGAGCCTTATTTCAACATTTACTTTCGATGAACGCAGTGTAAGAAATTCACACAATCCCTTAAACAAAACTCATCAGATTATCAGGAAAATCTTACGATCACGATAAGCTGTCATAGTATACTTGACAATATTTAGATAAATGTATAGGTATCCGTAACTTTAAATAACAATTTTGTCGTGCTGTGGGGAAACTTCAACAGACTTTCGTAAACTCTTTTTTAGCAATCAGGGGGTCGTAACATAAAGGGTACTTAAGTCTAAGACCATGCTTAAGTAGGACCTAAGTATATACAGTCTTAAACTTAAGACCGTAACTAGAAGCGTGCTAAGATTTGACAATCATAGAAAAACTTAGGCAGCCGGTAGAGGTGACTTAAGTATGTCTTAACTTTCTTAAACACATATTTAGAACAATTTAAGGTTGGCTCAATATTATGCATTAAAAAATAATTTTCTCTATTTGATATACTGGTATAAGAATTTTAGTTTTTCATCGGGGTGGGGGGGGGTGGGGGTGGGGGGGGGGTAGGGGTGGGGGGGGGGGGTTATACATCACTTGTATTCCAATATCATTCTCTAAATGACATACAAGTAAATGCAAAATATTCGTTTGAAATATAAGTGAGACCTAGGTTATAAACACTAATCATTATAAGTAAATTGTAAACAGTAATCCTGGATTTGTTTGTTCACTGTGAAAAAATGAGATGAAATGATTTTAAAAACTGTAGATGAAGTACAGGATGATGAGTAGAAAACTAATAAAGATTTTCTGTAAATTAGATTGAAAGTAGAGCGCAACAAGCGAGGATTCAGACAGGGTTCACTACTGTTAACGAGAGAGAGAGAGAGAGTTGTTGATAAGTTGAAGATATACGAAAAACTGTTTTCTGAAAACAAATCTTTTCCAACCTTCATTAAATTGTAAATAAGTATATCATAAAACGTCTGCAGTATCTGATTGCTGATATGGGAAGGGGGAAAAAATCAAAATGCCCCCTCCCTTTTTTTTTTTTTTTTTTTTTTTTTTTTTACTTTTTAATTAAGAGTTTCAATTTCAAGTGCGTAGACGTTCGGTTATCGTGCCATGTCTGCGAGAATGACAATCTGAAAGCAAGTGAACATTTGTCAAACGGAAGAATAACACCAAACGGTAAACTGAAAACATCGCAGTCTCCAGTGATACACAATATTCACGCATTTACAATGAACCACTAGTGCCACTTTGTTGTTTTCAAATATTCAGAATTATTTAAACAGAATTAACTTTAATTAAATAAATTAAGTATGGTCATTAGTATGTTTTAGGTGCAATCTTAAGACCTGCCTAAGTACTACTTAAGTATGTCTTAAACCGTAACATAAAACGGACTTAGCTAGGTCTTAGCTAAGTCAAACTTATGCTCAAAATATTTTTTATGAATCATCCTAGTTTTTCAATTTATTTATATATGTGTTTGTAAATATGATTTAGTTACGTTTTTTATCACATGTAAATTAAAGTTGACGTCCTTACCTATCGGTTTTAGCTAGGTTAGATTAGATTTCGTGATTAATAAAATTAACTCTGTTTAAATAATTCTGAGTATTTGAAAACAAATATTGCACGCTTACAAAGTGGCACTAGTGGTTCATTGTAAATGCGTGAATATTGTTTATCACTCGAGACTGCGATGTTTTCAGTTTACCGTTTGTTGTTATTCTTTCGTTTGACAAATGTTCAATTGCTTTCAAATTGTCTTTCTGGCAGACATGGCACGATAACCTAGCGTATGTACTTGAAATTGAAACTCTTAATAAAAAAGTAAAATAAAATAGAGATATTTGAATTTTGTTCCTCCCATATCAGCAAGCAGACACTGCAGGCGTTTTATGATATACTTATTTACAATTTAATGAAGGATTGAAAAGATTTGTTTTCAGAAAACAATTTTTCGTATATCTCCAACTTACATGTAACAACAACTCTCTCTCTCTCCCTCTCTCTCTCTCTCTCTCTCTCTCTCTCGTACGTTAACGGTAGTAAACCCTGTCTGAATCCTTGCTTGTTGCGTTCTACATGCATTCAATCTAATTTACAGAAAATCTTTATTAGTTTTCTAGTCATCATCCTTTAATTCATCTACAACTTTTAAAATCATTTTATCTAATATTTTCACAGTAAACAAACAAATCCATGATTACTGTATACAATTTACTTATAATGATTAGTGTTGATAACCTGGGTCCCACTAATATTCCAAACGTATCCCAAAAATAATATTTTGCATTTACATGTATGTCATTAAATTTTCGAGAGTGATATTGGAATAAAAGTGTTGAATCCCCCCCCCCCCCCCCGACGAAAAACTAAAATTCTTATACTATACTATATTAAATAGAGAAAATTATTTTATAATGCATAATATAACTAGAAGAATGTTTAAACATAGTAAGTCAACCTTAAATAGTACTAAATATAATTATGTTTAAGAAAGTTAAGACAGACTTAAGTCACCTCTATAGGCCGCCTAAGTTTTGCTAAGATTGTCAAATCTTAGCATGTTTCTAGTTATGCTTCTAGTTATCATGCGGAATTAATGTGAATCACCTATTATTCTCAACAATCTGTATTTGCAATTCACCGTTTTTTAAAATAAATTGTATTATTCATACCTCCGTCCTTCAGTACTTTGATTTATTTAAGTAACATAAATATATATCAAATAACAAGTTTTGAAAAGTAAAATATTAATTTTCTTTGGTGGTGCGTTAGAAATTTTGTCTAGTGTATGTGAAGTATCTAGGTTGAAAAGTGCTTATGTTATCCTGTCACTGTATTACGTACTTTGTGTTTACTAGAAAGGGCACATGCATCTTGATGCAGACCCTATTGCAGTAATTAAACATTAAGGATAGAAAAATAAATGCATCTGAAATGATTCCTAAAACTAGTAAAACTTATTTATAGATAATATCTTCAAAAATGAATACATGTGTATTATAAATTATTTCCTTCACTAATGCAGGATATTTTTCAGGTTTTAAAATCAAGGGCCTGGGCCTTACCATTTGGGAAAGCAACTTTTGGTTGAAATTGGGAAAAATATCATATTTAACATTTTTCTAAATAAATTCAAATAAACATTAATTTTTTTTTATTTGCAAGGTATTTATTGACTTATTTTACATTCAGTCAATCAGTTTTTGGAGCATGCCTTTTAGATTTTTTTTAACACCATTTCTGATGTGCATTTTACTGAGTTCAGACAAATATTACTGTATTTGTTTGTTTCGACTTTTGAGAATTTTCTTTTATGGTATTCGGAAAAACATATACTTTTAACCAGTGGGAACTGAGCGGAATACAAGCCCCTACGATTCCTAAAAAAAAACTGTAATGGTATACGCAAGTGATTTAAGGCTAGGTATAGGCGTTTCTATGCAAATGAGCTAATAAAAATGCAAAAGAGGTATATTTATTATACAGAGAAAGCTTGAATTCATTTTCTTATACATACTTAGTTCCCAAGACATGTTATAGCTAATGCATATTATGACGTCATATTATGACGTCACTGTTCTTAGTACTCAATGTAATAAAACACACCAACAAACGGCTTTGGCGCAAGGGCATACCCTATTTAATTTTTAGTAAATAATGTACAATTCTGCGAAGAATATTCTAAAGATTAATAAAAGTGCTGCACAAATCCTATGCAATTTCTCGTTTGATAAAAAATTGAGGAAACTTACGCTGGACTTTGAATTTTTACCCCGTTTCAACTCAAAACTTTACAAATAGTAACTAAACAATTGATCCGTCGACATTTGTGCAGCAATATCACAAATCCTTGGAATATTCTGCTTCTAATTAGACCCTGTTTCTGTAAAAATAAATTGGGTATGCCATTGCCCCGAAGCTCTTTTCTTGATGTTCTTTATAACTTTGTGTAGTAGAGAGCAATTACGTCATAATATGACGTCATAATGTGTACTGGCTATCACTTGTCGCGGGTACCAAGTTTGCATTAGAAAATAAGTTTTAACCTTTTCTGTATAATAAGTATAGCCCAAATGCGTTTTAATTAGTTCATTTTCATAGAAACGTCTATACTTAGCCTTAACTCACTTGCGTAGTTTCCTAATGAAATCTATGATAATTATCTGTGGGGGTATTTACACATATTACTATGCCAAAATTATGAGATTCACATATAAAGCAAATTTTTCTAACATTGTAAAAAAATGTTCATGATTCATAAGTTAAACAACAATGATATTGGTGTTTCTATATGTCATTTTTACATAGTCCTCCATCATTTCACATAGACATGCTCTGTAGTTTCTTGTTCGGTGACGATTAGTTACACTCTCTGGTAAACTTGTCCAGTTAATCAAGCCATTTGTCTCCTGAAGTTCCCGTAATTTCTGCACTATTAGGTTTTTTGCTGTTTCCTTAAAAAAATCAATATACTTAACATTGAAACATTAAAAACAAGGTATTTCTCGGATATTTTCATTTAACATTTGGTTTTATTTGGCAAAATATTAAAAAGGTATTGCAATTTTAGAGTATCCACATATCTTCAGTAAGAAAAACAATATCAGCATTAACAAGCAAAGAAAGAGTACTTATATGAAAATTGCAGATATTCAAGTATCATAATACATCAAATATTAAATAAGGTGTTGAAATAATCCGTTTTTTACCTCGTTGGTATCAGAATCCACTGTAGGTCTTATTTCTTTTAACAAAGATGACAAGTATTTCTGTAAAAGTATGTTATCTCGGATAAAAATCAATAAGATTATATTATGTACGTCGAAAATATTTATAACATTGTTACTTTAGGTTAAATGAAATAAAATTTCTTACCTCGCATTCAGTGACATCGTATCTAAATTTGTAAAGCTGATTAATATGTAAGGAAATATGGAAAAATTAAACATGGACTGGAATGTGTAATTTGCAGTAAAAACATTGTATAAAAATTTCTCTGAAAAGTCATTTGTTGTAAAAGCTAGAAACATGTACATGGATTAGAAGTCAATCTTTAGAAAAAAAAAATAGAAGTAAAATTTTGGAAAATTGTAAGGGCAATTAATTGTATCTGCCTATGTTAGTATCATAGTTATCTCAAACTTAGAACAGGTGAAATGCCCAAAGGCAAACACTGGAGTAAAAAGTGCAAAAGCCTACATAAAGATAAAAAATTGTAACGGTTTACATGTAATTAAAAAAAGCAGCAAAGGCCCTGACAGAAATATGAATTCGTAAAAGACTTATTTTGAGGTCAAAGATTGCATAGGTCGAGAAAGAGGTCAAAATGTGCAAAGTCCATCATAGAAGTAGGAAATTACAAAAGCTCACAAAAGGATTAATAAGTGTAAAGATCTACACAGTGGTCAAAAAGTGTAAATGTACAAGATTAAAAAGTGCGAAGGCTTACACAAAGACAAAAGGGTCTTAAGACCCACACAGAATTCAAAAAGTATAAAGGCCCACACAAAGATAAAAATATGCAGGCGTGCACAAAGCCCACATACACGTAGGCTAGCTATATGAAGGATAATTCTCTATTTGTAACCATGCAAGATAAATTGCAAGCATATTTTACAATTCAATTTTTACACTATTTCTTTCTGCAAGTAACCTGTTTCATATTTTCAATCATTATCAACATCCGGTTCAAGGATACCGTAGGTTTGGAAAGAAGAGTTTTACTGTTGTCGAAATAAATAAGGCATTTACTGCGTCTGTGGAATTTCAGGTTGTACTGATATACTTTTGAGTGGATATTGTAAGAGAGCTAAAAATGATTGGTAAAGAAAATAAAATTAGAATATCAGATTTGCATTCATATTATGATTTTCAATTTTACATTTAAATCAAGTAATTCTCATATCAGTACAACTATATATTAAGAGAGAGAGAGGGGGAGAGAGAGCTTACTTTTCTCCGGCATGCATATATAATAGATAATCCACAAGGACAAATAAAGCCCAATATAGGCAGACCAACGGTTAAAACACTCATTTGAAAAGGTTCATTATAGAATATGCTGCCACGAATCCTGCTCAATGCGAAAAATGCCCAAAAAATGAAGGAGACAACGACAAATAGTATACATAATGTACAACACCGCCATTTAAGAGACGACAGGACGGGATAATTCCGAAAAAGGTATCGGTAGTTAAGATCCTTTATGAGAGCACTGTAGTGGTTTTCAAGCTAAAACATAAAGATTACAACAGTTTTAAGAGCACTTCTGATTTTTTTTAAATTCTAACTATCGGTTTTAAGATTGCAAGGTTGAATTATCTATTAAACTATTGACCTCAATTGGATCCACACCAAATGATCGGATCTTTTCTTCTTCGAATTCTTCGAAAGGTGGAAATCTAAATGATAGACCGTATTGGGCATATTTTGCTTTGCTGGCAAATTTCCGGCATAAAATAACACCGTTGTGTGTAATGGCTAAAAGAAAGATATACAAATATTACAAATAGAAGAATTTACATTGTATTTTGCTTATATATGTTATTTTGCCACATTTATAGAAATTCTAAAACACTTGTATACTTATGAATATTTTACTCAACAAACACTACGGTGTAAATCTCACCTGGTTTGTCTTGATGTAATGGATCCAAAGACCCTGTAAAAGTTATATGAAATATGTCATTGAACCATAATTTAAGAAGTTGCATTTATATGGACAATAAATGATGAAATTCTTTTCGGTAAAATCTTACCAGGATGAAGAAATGCTTCGAAAATTTTTGCAGGAACATCCAATTCCTTTTGTGCATCGATATATACAAATGACTTTAAGAAAGATGGCAATTCTTTATGCAAGGGCTTTAAAACGAGTGGAATCACGTTTAAGTTATCGATATCTGTGAATGAAAGCTTGCATGCTTCACGTGCTTCCGTCACACACCAATGACTTTGGATGTAATATGGACTCAAAATCAAAAGAACTTTAACACTATGAGCCATTTCATCGGTAATATTTTCATCTATGTTTTTCCCAGGGATAAAATCCCTTTCGTAATCCATACATTTAAGATGAAATCTGCTTTCCATTTGTTCGCGTATTATATTAGCATGTTCCCTATCTTCTGAACTGTAAGATACAAATAAATGGTACTTTTTTCCGGGTGGGAGGGGTATTACACAGTCTGAGACTGGTTGTAGTAGTTCATCATGTTCTAATACGGTTATTTCCTTAGTTTCATCTGAAGTTTGATCCTTTCCCTGCACGTAGTCTTTTTTAAATTGAGAATATGTATTTGTTGACTGCAAAGGTTTTTCCTCTTGTGAACTATCGTAAAGTTTTAGCACAGTTGTTTCCTCACTTTCTTCTGAATATGTTGTTAAATTTTCATCGCTCTTCTGCACCTTTTCATTGTACCTTTCATTTAATTGCAAACATATATTCGTTGACTGTAAAGGATTTTCCTCACTAACTATGATTTCATCATTGAAGGATAATAGAGGAATTATTTCTTCTGACATGGTCTTTCATTGGCTTAATTAAATCACTGGGGCTATCAAAAAGTATACGGTACGTTAGAATTATATTTCACTTCAATAAGATCGCAGCACTTGTCTCATTTTCGATTTCATTTCTGCGAATTACGGAAGAACATACCTCTCATTAAGTAAGTGCCAATACAAAGTAGTTTGCAAAAATGAAAGGAAATTAATTTTTAAAATGAAATATACACTACTTTTAAAATATGTAAATGAAGGTTTTTCAAGGTGTTTTTATCATACTTTGAATGCTGTTCTTCAAATTAAATATAACTGCATGCCTTCTTTTAATGCTACCGTTGCCAAAACCAGGCACCATAAATTGAAAGTCACAATCAATAATTCTGTTCTAGATATCTTTTGAATAACGCAAAGTACAATGATGTGTCATTGTTCACTCTTTCTGCCATTTTTGTTTTGCTGTATTTTGACACTTAAGGTAAGTTTTGCTTTTAGTAATTTTTTAAATAAAATTTTGAAGTTACTTTATTTCTAACCTTTGAAATGTATTTCAACTGCAGAGTTCATTTTTAACATGAGGTTTTCCAGTTTATAAACAATTTAACGTATAACAGGCATCCTTTGAACTTGTGTTTATTTTATAATGGGCAATATTTAATAGATACCTGTATATGAAAAGCAACTGCATGTGTAGGTATTTGAGATCTTCATAGATCAATATGAATTTTATTATGAAATTTAACCAAAATAACATAGGTAGAGCAGGAAGATGAGAAGAATTAAATACATCTCTTTCGACTATACTGCTAAACTCATAATAAAATTAGGCCTAGCCTCCATTAAGCATTAGGGACTAATATAAGGGCTTCCAACCTTCGTATAGTCAGGCAACCATGAGGCCTTGTTTAAATCTCCCTAAGAAAATAAGGTAGTCAGGTTATGTAAATAAGTTTTTTAATAATAATATTGATTACTACCAAGTATGAAAGCTTAATTCATTTTTATTCAATAGTCTCAAAAACCACAAGAACCGTTCACCCCCTTTTCGTTTAGATGACGTGCCGCATAAATGTTTTAGAACAATTATCAAACAAAACTTTAAACGCACATCGATTATAATGGTTTCGACGGGTTAATTTCAGCCAAATGCTAAATAAGCAGTTTATTTTTTCCCCTTCCAAATTTTTATCAAAGAATATATTCTAGAAATAATGCAAGGAAAAATCTTTTGGGGATTTTAATTTTAATTTGAATTGTGAAAGATTACGCCAGGCGATGGGCAAGACATGAAAAAGAAGACATTGACAATCAGAATGGATTAAATGTATCAAATGTATGTTAAAATCTCGCATTTAGCGATATGAAAACCAAATATCCTTCTGTGTTCAATAATTTAGATGTAAAAAAAAAAAGAATTAGATAAATTGGACGATAGTATGTACTGACAAAGTCTGTAATAACATTGTCTTTGTTTGTAAGGTTCATTATTTTAATTGCATTTTAGAGGAACTAGAATTTAATTCTACAAGTGGTAATCCAACTTATACCCATAACTCCCTCTCTTAGGTAGAAATTCTTTAAAATCATTAGTCAGTTTTGAATATTTTTTATATTTTCAAAATGAATTTGAATTACTCTATCTATATTAGATTCCGAAACTTCAGGTAAATCCTTACAAACAGAGGTACATAGCGGGTTCCAGTAAATGTTCTACCAAGCTTCTTTCTTTACTCCTCACTAAAATATTAACAGTAGTGAAGGAGAAAGTTAAGGAGTACTGTGCAACAATATATCCGAGAAAAAGTGTAAATCAGATGTGAATACTTAAACAAGAGGCCCATGGGCCGCAACGCTCACCTGAGTAACTTTGGCCTTGATGTTTTTCACCTGATTTCTCCCCCCCCCCCTTATAGTACTTATTGTGGCCCCGCCCTACCCCCGGGGTCATGATTTGAACAATTTTGAATCTACACTACCCCAGGATGCTTCCACATAAGCTTCAGCCTTTCTGGCCCAGTAGTTCTTGAGAAGAAGATTTTTAAAGATTTTTACTACATATTTCAATGTAAAACTTGGATTCCCTATTGTGGCCCCGCCCTACCCCTGGGAGTCATGATTTGAAAAATTTAGAATCGACACTACCCAAGGATGCCTCCACATAAGTTTCATCTTTTCTGGCCCAGTGGTTCTTGAGAAAAAGATTGTTAAAGATTTTTACTACATATTTCAATGTAAAACTCGGATTCCCTATTGTGGCCCTGCCCTA